ACTGCCTAAAGAATAATGGGATTCTTTCTTTCTTTCTTTCTTTTTTTAAAAAAGGGGTTTTTTGCCATAGAATATGTGCACTTGCTGGTGAAAAAGACAGAGACAGTGAGAGGGAAAGTGCAAAATCTCTTCCCAAGAGGGATGGCCACGCCGCGATCCCTTCTCCGTTTTCCTCCCAGGATCTTGGGCACACACATACACTCGCCCGGAGTGAGTTTCAAGCAACCGGGTCTGGGAATTGAACTTCGGTCAGCCATATGGGAGTCCAGTGATGTAACTAACTACCACACCGTATGCAGGCCCCAATGGGATTCTTTTTTTGACGTTGACCTATCTCTCATTTCCATGAGCAAGAGAGACAGCACCCCCCAATGGGATCTTCGTGCCCTCATCCTCCCTCCCCCCCCGTTTCAACTGGGATTCTTTTTTTTTGAGGTTGATCTATCTCTCATTTCCGTGAGTAAGAGAGACAGCACTCCCAATGGGGTCTTCATGCCCTCATCCCCCCCAGTTTCAGCTGGCCCAGATCACAGTCCTGTGTGTGTCTGGCGTGTTCAGGGAGGTCTCTGGACGTGAACCGGGAACCTTCCCATGTGGGTTGGCCCCACAGGCATTGCATTACTGCTGTGCCACCATCCAGCCCCCCAGGGATGATCTGATTTTGAAGCTGCCAGGGTCTTGGACCCCAGCATTTCATTTATCATTCAGATGTCTGTCTGGAAACTCTAGACCAGGGCTGTGGCCTCCTGAAGGCCTCTGCAGCACGACTGCTGGGACAGGCTCTCCAGCTTCCTGTCCCCGTTGGTGCATCCAGGTGCCCCTCTGTCACAGCTTGCCCTGCCGAGCTCGTAGATGCTACGTCTATAGGCCCTGGAAGCTTGGCTCCTTCAGCCTACCCTCACCCAATTTTTCTTTCTCCCTTCTAATTATTTCCTTTGCCTTCCTCCGGACTCTGAGCTGCTCACCATGCACAGAGCGTCCACAGCTTGCGGCATGCTGCAGAGAGGGAGGAGTTCGCCGCCCCAGTCTCGCTCCCTCTCTCTCTCAGGCACACACATAGGCTGGCACACTACAGCTTAGACAGGGCCAAGAGAGTGGGCAGAGGTTGTTGAGACCGTCAGGGGGCAGCAGGTGCAGCGTCTGTGGGAGAAGTAAGGGGTTTGCACACGGTGAAGACACAGAAGCTGGAGCTCAGTCTGCCTCCTTTGCTCTGCGGTCTTGGGTAAGGCACTGGACCCCTGAGAGCTTACCCAGGAACTTCCTAGCCACCCACACACGCGGCCTTCTGCTTCACCCCAGACCTGGCCAGGCCTCGGGAAGAGGCTCAGCTCCTGGAAGTGGCAATTGTCCATCCAGGATGGGAGAGCTCCACCATCACGCCAGACACACCTGGGCTCACCGGCTCACCCTGGCGAGAACCGCTGCTTCCTTGAGACGCAGTTTCCTCATCTATGAGATGGGGATGATCAGCTGTTAACAGCAGTCCATGTGCACACTACCTGTGTCCCCCAAGGCCTGTCTTCTCACCCTCTTCGGCACCCTCTGAGCACAGGTGTCACCTCCCAGGGGGAACGTCTGCCCCCAGGGCTGCTGCTGCCTGCTTGCTTGATCTTAACTGTTTTCTGGGCCAGACTCTGCAGCACAGCAGCTAAGCACTGTCAGAGGGAGCCGGGTCCTTTGTGGCCAGCATAGCTCACATTCCAGCCCAGTACCTTCAAAAGCACACCAGGCCGGAACCAGCAGATGGTATAGCAGTTAAGTCACTGGATTTCCACATAGTCGACCGTGGTTCAAGTCCCGTACCCAGTGGCTTAAAACTCACACTAGATACGCGTGTGTGTATGCTCAAAATCCCGAGAGGAGATTGGAAGAGAAGGGATTGCAGCATGGCCATCCCCCCGGTAGGCAATTTCTTGCTTTCTGTCTCTCTGTCTCTTTCTCTCCAGCAAACACATGTGCCCCATAGCAAAAAATCTCTCTTTAAAAAAAAGATGCAGGGAATCAGCAGTTAGCGTAATGGCTATGTCGCTGGACTCCCACGTAGTCGACCGCGGTTCGTGTCCCAGACCCGGTGGCTTAAAACTCACGCCGGGCGCGTGTGCGTGCGTGCCCAAGATCCCGAGAGGAGAATGGAGGAGAAGGGATTGCGGCGTGACCATCCCCCCTGGGGGGTGATTTCTCGCTTTCTGTCTCTATGTCTCTTGTGGCAAGGCCATGCCCCCTACAGTGAAAATCTCTCAAAAAAAAAAAAAAAAAAAAAAGATGCACACCCCATGCATGTATGTGCATAACCAGAATTCCGATGGGATGGAACACAGAGGAAAATGGATTGTGGCACGACCAGGCTTCCTTGGGAAGGTTCTCTCTCTCCCCCTTTCTCCCTCTCTTGTTCTCTCAGGCCTTAAAAATTTGTAAAAAGGGGCCAGCAGGTGGCATGACGGTTAAGGTGCTGGACTCCCACAAGATCGACTGCAGTTCAAGTCCTGGCATTCTTTTGCTCTCTCTCTCCTTCCCTCCTTTCCTCCCCTCCCCCCCCTTCTCTGATCAAACTGAATAATAATAAATAATTTTAAAATTAACGTATCAGGCACCCACTGCCAGGTCCTGGGCTCAGTGCTGCTATGCGTACTTCAGAGCCAGGTTCCAGCCCCGGGGAGGAAGAGGTAAAAAGCTCTTGCCCCGCAGTGCCCTGGTCAGGGGAGTAGGAAGCCCTGACGGTGTTGCCCGTGGGGCACCCAGTCCAGCCTGCATGAGGGAGAGACTCAGGAGAGAGTGGCAGGTCAGTCAAGGCCCAGGGCAGGCCAGAGAACTGGGGGAGCAGTGTGCCCAGTCATGGGGGTAACCACCCTGCAGGGCCTCCCTGTGCCCTCCAGCCCTCTCAGACCCTGGTCCTTGTGGCCATTAGATGAACCGACCCTGCGGTCCCAGCGACCCTCTGAAGAACTTGGAGCCAGGAGCCATTGATCTGGATGGACCTACATGTAAATGTGCCTACTCCTGCCTCCCTGACCATAGTCCCCCGCCCAGCAGAGGCCTGGGGACTTCAATGGAGGGAAAAGGCAGCCGGTCTGTCATGGGCCATGCCCATCTGGAGGTGGCAGAACAAAGCGGGTCTTGCCGCTTGTCCCCATCCTCCCTTCTCATCCCCACCTGCCCAGCCTCTGGTCCCCAGCCCCTCCCCACCCCACCCCCTGCAGACCGGGCTCTCAGCAAGGAAGACTGACAGGGCCCCGCTCCCCACCTTCCCCGGCGCCTCCCCCTCCCCTGGAGGCTGGCCTTGTCGTCAGCACCATTTCTGTTGCTTGTACAGAGGAGGCACAGAGAGGGGGGGGGCCCGCTGCCGGGGAGAGCTTCGAGGAGACGTGCAGGCTCATCGTGAGGATTCATAATGCCGCATTTACACACAGCCCTGCCTCCAGAAATCGGGCCAGCAGATGCCTGGTCATGCTGGCAGGGCCGTGGGTTAACGCCTCGGATTCAGCTTATATCATCTCACGAGAGCTGACGGCCTTTTACTGTGTTTTTCCCCCGGTCGGTCTTTGGCCCCGAAGCATCCCGGATCGCCACCATGCGTCTGCCCGTGCGCCCAGGCAGTCGCCAGTGCGTGTAGATTTTCCAATAAAATAACACCTCTCTTCAGGTGCCGCGCGCATTAAATATTTATCGGCAGCAATCTGTGTGTAGATATTTGATAAATGGACTTTCGGAGGAGATGGGGGGTGGGCAGCAAGACGGGAAAGCCAAGGAGCCCTGAGATGGCCTGATCCTTTCGTGCTAGGATTTCTCTACGGTTTAGCGCTGAGGAGAGGAGAGGGGACCAGGGGGGACGTTCCGAGGCCATGTTTACCTGCTTGAGCCCAGTTGGGAAGAGCCAAACCGTTCTCTTCTCCAGAGCTCTGAGCCAGCGTAGCAGATATGAAACCAAGAACTAAGAGGGAAGACAGGTGGGGTTGGGGGAGGTTGCTCCCCATCCCATCGAGCCCGGAGCATGGACGAAACGCCCCGGGTCCGGGAGAACAGGCTCACCCCACTCAGCTTCCGGGGTGACGAGTGCCCAGCCCAGGCATGGTGGCAGATGTGACGGGTCGGGAGAACCCGCTGGTCCTGCACCCAGAGCCCTGGTTCGTACACACGAGCAGCCTCTTCCCCTGTCCCGGGGCCTCTAGGTGGGTGGAGAGAATCCGAAGAGTCCCCATCCGCATCCCTACCCCATCCTGGCTGTTCCCTCCCTGGTCAGCCTGATACCAGGTCTGGAGAGAGCGGCTTGTGTCCCTGAGCCTGTGCTGGCCAGGGGGCGGCTGGCATGAGGGCATGAGTGTGCATGCGTGTGTGTGTGCGTGTGTCATGAGTGTTCTCTCCTGTGATCCAGAGGGTCAGCACCTGAGAAGCAGCCTGGCCCCTCCTCCTCTTCTGTGGGCCCAGTTTTGGGTTTTTTTTTTTTTTTGGAGAGATTTTTGCTATAGGGCAAGTGAGCTCGCCAGAAAGACAGAGAGACAGAAAGCAAGAAATCACCCCGCAGGGAGGATGGCCACACCGCAATCCCTTTCTCCTCCATTCTCCTCTCGGGATCTTGGCCACACACGCACATGCGCTCGGCTTGAGTTTAAGCCACTGGGTCTCTGGGACTCGAACCGCGGTTGGCTACATGGGAGTTCAGCGACATAGCCATTACAATAACTGCTGGTCCCAAGTTTCCTTTTCTTTTGGAGGGCAGATTTTTGCTATAGGGTGCGTGTACTCACCAGAGAGACAGAAAGCAAGAAATCGCCCCCAAGGGGGGATAGCCACACTGCAGTCCCTTCTCCATTCTTCCCTTGGGATTTGAGCACACACACACACACACACACACACACACAAGCCCGGCATGAGTTTTAAGCCGCCGGGTCTGGGACTCGAACCATAGTTGACTACATAGGAGTCCAGTGATTAAACCATTATGCCCTCTGCTGGTCCCATGCAGGCCCACTTTCTGATCTCCATGCCTTACCTTTTGTCCCCAGCACCTTCGGGGAGCTGAAGACGGTCCGCCTGCCTAAGAAGATGACCGGGACAGGCACGCACAGAGGGTTCGGCTTCGTGGACTTCCTCACCAAGCAGGATGCCAAGGTGAGACCCAGGGAGGCCCTGCACCTCCCTGCCTCTGTCCCCATCTGGGCCCTTTGGAGGAGATGCAGCCTCCCAAGTATTGCCACCCGACAGGCTTTCTTTTCCCTCCAACCCTGCACATTTGCACGTATTCTCCTTGAAGGAAAAGGCCCAGGTTTTGCACTGGAGGAAGGGGCAGATCCGTGTCCTCGCTCCCCCCACCCCTGCGCATAACTCACACGGGCGGGGGCCTAGGCTAGGAACTGAGCGAGCAGGTGGGTTTCCCGGGCTTTCCCGAGTCAGAGAGGAACTCCCGGTCCGGCATGGGACACGCTGTGTGTGCAGCGCGAGGGGACCCTGGATAGGTGCTTGGAAGAGAAGGTGCACAGCGCCCCAGAGGTAGCCTTCCTTCCTGCTTCTGCCCAGGAGTTCCGTTTCTGTGCCAGGTGGACATGAGGGCAGCCCTGGCAGATGCTGTGTACAGAAATCCCTCTGGGCTCTCCTGAGACCTGGAGCACTTTTTATAGCCAAAGCAAGGCAGCGTCTCCTGATCAGCTGGGCCCCCTCACCCCAGCTGCAGGTGCAGGACCAGGGCTACAACAGGTTGTCAACTGCATGCATTGTCCCCGCCCTTACTGACCCAGTCCAGAACCCGTGCTGCCCAGCTCTCTGCCCGCCTCCCCTCGGGGAAGAATAGAGCTAAGGGAGGGACCACAGATGGTGTAATAATTATGTCACTGGACTCCCACGTAGTCGGCCGCAGTTCAGAGGCTTAAAACTCCAGCTGGGCACGTGTGTGCATGTGCCCAAAATCCTGAAAAGAGACTGGAGGAGAAGGGATTGCAGCGTGGTCATCCCCCCTTGAGGCTTGATTTCTGGTATTCTGACTCTCTCTGTGTCTCTCCTGCAAGCGCACGCACCCTACAGCAAAAACCTCTTTAAAAAATAAAACAAACAGACCAGCATGTAGTTGGACTCCCATGTAGTTGACTGCAGTTTGAGTCCTGGACCCGGTGTAGTTGGACTCCCATGTAGTGGACTGCAGTTTGAGTCCTGGACCCGGTGGCTTAAACACACACCGGGCGTGTCTGTGTGTGCCCGAGATCCCAAAAGGAGAATGGAGGAGAAGGGATTGCAGTCTGGTCATCCCTCTTTGGGGGTGATTTCTCACATCTGTTTGTCTGTCTCCTTTCTTTCTGGTGAGCGCACGCACCCTATAGCAAAAACCTCTCAACAACAAAACTCTTGCTAAGGGAGGTCTCCCTGGGGCCAGATGCCCTCCACCACTGACGGGCAGCCCGCTAGCAAGCAGAAAGTACTTCCTCGACCCACACCCATCAGCCTTCAGTAGCTGGTGTTGTCAGAGGCTCAGGGCTTGGGTCGGCAGTGCGGTCACAGCTGTGGCCTTTGTGGGCCCTGAGAACATGCACAACAGAGAGGGCACGCTGGGACCTGCAGTGTCTGGCCAGCCACCTTTGTCTCCACGTCTCGAACTCAAGTGCCTTTTTATTGCACGTAGCCACATTGGCATGACATCTGCTCCCCTCCCCGTCGACTAGCAGCCCTTCCTTCGCCTTCACCCAGGGACTGCAGGGGTGGCGCCCTGTCCGCAGCAGCCACGGCCCTGACCCTCACAGTGGGGCCGGCACCCGGGGCCCCACACTGGCACAGAGGGGGGCCCTGGAAGGCTGTCAGCTCTAGCCCATGGCAGTTTGGCCTTCCTATCCCTGCCCTGTGCCTGTTTCCTCCTCTGTAACCACCGATCATACTTCCTGCCATCCGAGGGTTACAGCAGAACTCACAGGTGACACTCCAGTCCCGGTCCTGGCACAGAGTGAGCACCCCATACTGCTTACTACCCCAACCGGAGGCCCCTCAGAGCTGCCCGTCCCACAGTGCAGGGATTCGGGTACACTTCAATGCCCTGGTGACGGAGAGGAGGGAGGGGACAGTGCTCTCTCCGCTGCGGGGCTCCCAGGGGACGGGTCATGAGGGTGTCAAGCTGTTGTCGTCTCTGTGGCACAGAGGTTCCTGTTTGAGGCTGTGGCTGGGGAGGACACGAGCAGGAGTCACTCCTTGGCCCTAAGAAACCTGTTATCGAGACCAGCAGTTGGCATAATGGTTATATCGCTGGACTTCCATGTAGCCAACTGTGGTTTGAGTCCTGAACCCGGTGGCTTAAACTCACGCCGGGCGCATGTACGTGCGTGCCCAAGATCCCGAGAGGAGAATGGAGGAGAAGGGTGGGGGGTGATCTCTCACTTTATGTCTCTCCTTTCTAGCGAGCATGAATGTGTCATATAGCAAAAAAAGAGAGAGAGAGAGAGATCTCTTATCAAGGCCCACCCACAGTGGCTCATTTAGAACACAAACTTCAGGCCTGACTCACTGAGCTCAAAGCCGAGCGCTGCCACTTACTACGCTGTGACTCTGAACAAGTGACTTCCTTTCTGTGTGCCTCAGTTTCCCCCCTGTAACACGGTAATTGGAGTGTCCTCGTAGGGCTGCAGGAGTCAGATGTAGTAGTCTGAGAAAGGGGCCTGGCCCTCCGAGCTCCGTTTGCTGCTGGCTCGGAGGAGGGCGAGGGGAGTGAAGGGTGCGACAGCACAGCGGCCATCTGAGAGCAGGGGTGAGGAGGAGCAGAGGGAGAAGCCGTCGGAGCCCCTGTGGCTGGGTCCCTCCTTCCTCACAGGGGCCTCTTTCCATCCTAAGCGGTTGATGCTGGAGTTGGCCTGGCGCTTGGGGCCTGAGGGTTGGACCCGGGGCAGGCCTCGGCCCTGACGTCCCAGGGGGCCCTCCGTCATGGAGCAGTCAGGATAGTTCTGCTCTCGGGTTTGTTAGAACAGACGTGGGTGGGGCCGGCGTATGGCATAGTCTCTTGACTCTCACATGGCCAGCCACGGTTCAAGGCCCAGACTTGGCAGCTTGAAACTCGTGCCAGCACATGTGCACATGTGCCCAAAATCCCAAGAGGAGAATGGAAGAGAAGGGACTGTGGCATGGCTGCCCCCCCCCGGGGGGGTGATCTCTCTCTCTCTCTCTCTCTCTCTCTCTCTCCCCATCGAGCACACACACCCTAAACCAAAAATCTCTCTCAAAAAAATAAATAAGTAAACACAAGTGAACGGGCCAGTGTTCACCAGCACCCAGCTGGCCCGTACTCGAGACCCAAGGCCGGGCCGAGCGGCATTTAGGAAGCCCAGCCCAGCTCTCCGGTGCCTTATGGAGGTGACACCTCTTCTCCAGCCATCCCTCCTCTGCTTTCCATGCCAGGCTCCAGGAGGAGGAGGGCAGCCAGGGACAGCGAGGGCTCAGCCCACAGCTGCCCGGCCGGCCCTCCCGGCTCTCGCCACGACAGGAAGCTATCTCTGGCCCTGCCATCCCCACCATGGCTGTTTCCTGAACCCTACCCAACCAGCCGGTCTTCCAGAAAGCACGAACCCAGGACAAGCGAGCACACGTGTCCCTCCTGTACCCCGTTAGCTCCCTCCGCCCCGCTCCTGGTGTCTGTCCAAAGAACTTTGTTGTCTCTGGGCAGGACACTCGTTACTCTCCGCCGGCCGGGCACTCTGCATCCCGGTCCAGACCCTGAATGGCATGAGCACCTCGTTAGCTCAGGGCTGGGCGTGAATCGGCGGGGGCAGCCATTCCACCAGTAAAAAGCCTCATGGCAGCACAGTGGTAATGCAGCACTCCACGAGGCTGAACCACGGAAACTGGGTTCGTATCCCAAGGCCTCCCTGTAGGCGTTGGGTGTGTATGTGCCCATAGTCCTAGCCAGCTGAGGCTGGGGGTGGACAGAAGAGTGAGGACCCTGATGGGGTGCTCATTCCTCTCCCTCTCCCACGCACGCTCACTCGTGAAAAACAGTCTAAAAATCCTAATGTTTTTCTATAAGAAACAAACTTCAAAACAAAAACACCTGGATCTTTGTGTTCCTTGGTGGGAGGAACCCTGAGGATCTCAGACCTGGTGGAGGAAACCCTGTGGCCCCAGGCTCAGGACAAGCCCTGGTTGGCATTCCTCCTCCTTTGGGAGCCCCTGGGGGAAGGAGCTGTCCTTTGGGAAGCCTTCCCAGGCTCGGTTTAACTTTAATCCCATTTCCTGCCACAGCGGCACCGTCATGGAAATAAGTCAGGACCTGTTTTGGCTGTAGGCAGCTCTTGGGCCAGGAAATCAGGAAATCTGGCCGGAGCAAGGCAAAGGGGAAGAAGAGAAGGGGAGTGGGTAGAGGGGAGAGAGGCAGGGAAGGAGAGCGCTCCTTGTAGAGCTTTGAGACCGGGAGGCAGTGGAGAACCAACCCTTCCTGGGAGGGGTGCTGCTGGGCCTGCCCCTGTGTCTGGACTCACAGTCCTGTGCTCTCTCCAGCACCGGCCACTCTGTAGACCCGCTTGCAGACGATCGAGGGGTCAGGGTCCAGTTGCCTCCTAAAGGCCTCTGCTCAACACCAGTCTCTGTTCTGGCTCTGAGTATCTGTCGGTCCTCTGGTCTCTGGAGAAGGGATTGCAGTGTGTCCATCCCCTGCTGGGGGTTGATTTCTCACTTTCTGTCTCTCTGTTTCTCTCTGTCTCTCTGGCGAGCGCACGCGCCCTCCTAAACAAAGGATTCTCCTGGCCTTTTCCCGAGAGACCCACGCCCACCTCTGTGTCCTCAAGGTGATGCAGCAGGGCCCCTTCTGGGTCAAGCCACATCCCCTAACCGGGAAGAGAATCCAGCAAGACTCCTTGCCTGGCCCAGCTTGGAGTCACCAGGCAGCTGATGAGAACAGCGGGCACTGAGTTTGCGTGTGGCGTGTGTGCAACATGTGTGAGGCTGGTACAGACCCTCCCACCCCAGATTCTCTGAGCTCTGGCTGGGCTCTGTAGCCACCATGGAGTCCCGTGGGTATGGACGTAAGCCCAGACCCGGGTCTTGTTACTGAGGTGCTCCAGGAAGCTGAGGCCTGGGCCGTCTGCCCTTGTCACACAGGCTCTGCGGACCGGAGCACCACGGGTGGGAAGCAGGATCGATGAGCTGGCACT